GGAGCGTCAAATCCACCAGCATGTGGCAGTGGCCCAGAGCGTCTTTCCGAAGGCGTTCCATGTTTTGTGAGGGCTTCATGTTTGCCCTGGGTGTTATGGGGTGGGATTCAAAAGTTTACGTGGTGATGCATTTGGCAACTCACAGAAATAACCATTTTATACGAATACACTATCCATTACACTAGCATTTCAAACAACAGAAATATGACACTAACGTCATAGATACTTGTACCACCTTTCACATTGAAAGGTAGTTTTAATCATCTCTGTATGCCTACCTGCATTCTAGGTCGATCATGCCTCAACAGACACATTGTGAGTGAACAGCTCCTCAATTCAAAATAACTCCATTCCCCCTAAACTTTCCAACTAATTATTGTAAATCTGTGGTGAGAGGTTTTGCCTGAATTATCTACGTATTTGCTTTAATTCTTTACTTCCATTTGGAGAAGCAGACATGGTCTCCAGTCTAAATATCTTTTGATAAAAATGAAGAACTTTTCTTCAAAATTCCTTTAGAGAAAACTCTTATGGGGATGGATTAGAGAAAACTGACGGGCAGTGGGGGGTGCATTGAGGAGGAATGGGGTGTCTGGCAAGGAGAAATTCAAACAGTCACTAGGTTTAGCAAAACTTTAAGTGGTCCCCGTGTCAAGTAGTACATACTCAGTGGTTAGAGAGTGTGATGATTAATATTCCAGATCCTAAACATGTATCCAGTGAAGCATCTATTCACAGTTCATTCGGATTCGGTGACTGAGACTACCTTAAAAGCACGGATGTCCTCAGTGACAATTCGCATCCTAGCTGCAGAGTCTGGGGAAGTTCCCTGCAAGCTGTCTGTGGGACCACTAGTCCCAGTGGACACATCCAGAGCACACATGGGAGAAGCATTTTTCTTTCTTTGTGGCCTCTGTCTTAATGCAAAAGTAAAACATCCAATCACCTCAGCCCCCAATGCATTTTCTTTTGGATTGTTTTGGGGAGTGGCCAATTAGTAGAGTTAGAGCTAAGTGGTGGGTGGGAAACAAGGGGGAGAGGGCAGAGACTTCCCCAGAGCTGTGAAACAAGATCCAAAAGTGCTGCAAAGTGTCCCGTGGGCAGAGGGAGAAAACTCAGGGGCCTCCAGATTCACTTGTTTCCTTAGATGAATTCAAAAAGTACAACTGTCAGTTATTCTAAAATGCACAGGCAAGCCAACAGTGTTCAACTTCTGCACCTTGCTCTCAAGCAGCTTAGGGACTCTAGGATTATTATCTAATTGGTCTATTGGCCAGGAAGGAAGCGATTTAAGGCCAAGGAGCCAAGAAGAAGATTTCAAGCCCAAGGAAGTGGAGCTTAAATGTTCTCCATAGGAACATGGCCATGTAACCCTGCCCACCCAGGCTTGGAAATTGCAGCCAACCAAACTGAACCCTGGGATCTGGGCAGCTCAGGAAGAGCTGGCTGCTGGCGGAACCTGCTGCATCTGCAGATAAAACCCTTCACTCAGCTGGTCTGGGCTCCCCTCAATCATCCCCTCCCACCCCCCAGCCGCTTGCCTAGGAGAAGAACATTTAATGTCTGCAGCTCTGAGGAGCGGGATTCGGGGCAAAAGGGGGACTGGGCACCCCAGCAGCAAGCAACCCTAGCTACTCTTCACCCTCTCTGACACCCCTTTCAACTCACCCTTTACCTAAGGAGTTCACCTCCTCCCCCTGGGCCCAGGCTCCCTACCCCTCCTTGCGGAGCTACCTCTGGGGGCTGAGGCATTGCTTTATAACAGTCTCAAGAGGACCAGGCAGCCCAGACCCCACGCGTGCTTCCTCCGGAGGGCGGGAGTCTTGGGCCACCGAGAGTTTGTGGAGGGCACCTATGGGGTGACTACTGGGCACCCGCACCTCGCCAGGGAGCAGCCACAGGAAGAGGGACAAAGAGCCCCGTCCCCAAGACTAAGCCCCTTTAGCCCAGATGGGCCAGAGCACCCGGGTTCGTGGCACCTCCTTCTCCCCAGGCAATTGCAAAAGCTGCACAGAAAGCACTGGGGAGCTCTGGTTTGTGGATCCCAGGGGCTTCCAGTCATTAGGCGACACCATCTGACTCAGGACTGAGCATGATAGCCACAGTCTCAGGAAGTGCTTCGCCTGACCTCACCTCCCTCCATCCCCAGGCTGCCCGCCCCTGTGCTCCACCTGGCCATCCAAGGGATGCAGGGCCCCCCAGGCTCTGCGTCTCAGACATGGGGGGACTCCACCACCAGCGAAGACCCTGAGGTGGCCGGGGGGACTGTGCTCCCTCACTCTGGTAGCCTGTCAAGTCCTGGTGGCCTGGCCAGGGGAATTGGGCTGGGCAAGTGCCCGCGCCGCGCCCGCCTCTGGACTTGCTGCTGCTTGGCCTGTGGGCCGTGTCCTCTCTTCTGAGGCGCCAGGGCGGCACGTGGTCACTGGGCTGGAGCTGACAGCTGCCTGGCGCCTTAGTCACCTGTGCTCATCCCGCCTCCCTCAGCAGCAGCGCCTCTACCGCCACTGCAGCCACTTTGCCTCAATTGCCCCCATCTGCTCAACACCTTTCCTGGGATCAGGTGACGGGGCTGGAGAAGCAGGCCATGGCTGGGGCTGGGGCCGGTGTGCTGCCAGGGCTGCTGTGGCTTAGGCTGCCACCACTGCCACTGCCAAGCCCTGAAGTCCAGCGACTGCCAAAAAGAAGGAGGCAGGAGGAGGCAGAGACAGGTGGCTCTCCTGGGGGCAGGGGAGGTGGCTGTGGAGGAGGAGGAGGGGAAGGGAAGGGCAAGGAAAAGAAGGCTTGGGGTTGTAGAGCCTCTTCTCTGTGTTTGGGAGTTGAGGGCACTGGGAGCACTTGGAAGGCGGCTTGGAAAAGGAAGAGCCTTGAAGTGAATTTGCGTCCCTTGAAAAGTTAGACAGGGGAAGAAATTCCTCCTCCTTTCCTGAGAGAGAGAGAGACAGAGAGAGACCACGCGCGCTAGCAAGCGCCTTGGCCAGTTGGAAAGTAAAGAGAGGATGAGGAGATTCCCCCAGGATAGGGTCAGGCAGCCCTGAGCACAAGCAAAGGACAGAGCAGTGGGTGGCACTGGGCCTCCCAGGGTGGCGGGAGCAAGAGGCAAAGGCACAGCAGAGTCTGAGGGGAACAGGCCACTGGCTCCTGTGTCCTGCACGGAGCTCCTGCTCCTGCCAGGGCTGGAAGTTTCCTGAGTTCCTGCCCCAGGACTCAAGTGGGATGAGTGTGTGTGCTTGGCAAGGGGGTGGCGGCTGGGTGGGGGTGGGGAGTGCCCACCTCTCATCTTGGGCAGATGAAGGGGAGGGACTGAGCTTGGAGAAAAGGAGAAGGAGGAGGGAGGCCAGGCTGACCCCAAGCCAAGGCGACTGGCCAAGGCACAGAGGCAGCATGTGACATGGTCCGGAGGGTCAGCTGAACATTTTCAACTCTCCTAAGCAAGCAAGCAAGCATAATGCAGAGGCTGATGGCTGGTTATTGGCTACCTGTGGTCTCTAGGCCCTAACACAAGGGCAATATGACCACCTCAGTTCAATGTTGACTGCACCTGGGGGCGCTTGTGTGCCACCCTGAGCCTCCCCCATGCTCCTGTCCAGAGACGGGATTAAAGAGACAGGCCAAGGATCTGGGGCCAACTCCCCTCTGGCCTCGCCAGACCAATCGCCTGAGGGCACCCCTGGGCAGTAGTCCTAAAAGGTGGAAAGGCAACTCTCCCAGAGCCACCTTTCGGGGATCAGCCACTACCTGGGCCTCCACGTGGGAAGGCTGCAGGAGTCTGCAGGAGCCAGACTGCGGGAGTCTGGCTGCACCCGCGGCAGCGCTCTAGTTTCCTGAGAGAGGGAAGGGACTGCAGAGGAGTAGGGACGGCCCCTGACAGCCCTGCTGGGTCTCAGAATGCCTTTCCCACAGAGCATGCTGCCACAACTCATGCACGTGTAAACACGCACACAAGTGTAAACACACACACTTGCACACAAATACACGAGCACACTCACCAACACAGACACACTCGCAAATACACGCACGTTTACTACACACGTACACACAGGCACGTGCAACGTGCACACGCACACGGGGCGCGCCAGCGGCTTCAGGGAGCTTTTCCCGGGTTGAGGCGCCATGCTGTGAAAGGGAGGTAGCAGGTCCTGACCCCACAGTTGCACCAACTGCCCAACTGCCCTTCAGTTCACCTGCATTTAACCTTCTCCCTGAGAACTGCCTCTCTGCCAAGCCCTGACTGTGTAGCCCGGACTGTTTCTGAGATGTGTGAACACGCTAATGGCCCCAGTCCCTGGTAAAAGGCGGAGTACATTTTAATATGAACGTCTTTCATCCTTGAATAACACAAAGCTCTGAAAGAATTAGGTTCAGGTTTTCACATATCATACCTAAAAATATTTTCGACTAACTCCAAAATAAAAACATTCACCTGGAGAGGAATTTTTTTCCCAAAATAGAGATCACCTAGAAATAAAAGCGCTACTTCACAGCCCTAAGCGGGACTTGGGCACCGCCAGGCTCCCCTGTGCACGGGGAGGAAGCTCAGGGAAACGCCTGCTTAGGCGGGTGGCGCTGATGGGGCAGAGCTGCCACTTTACATCCATTTCCAGCTGCCCTGGGCAGAGCTGGGACACGTGACTGAACGTTGAGTCCTCTGCGGGTCCCCAGTTTTCTCCTGGGTCCAAATTTAGCTGTGGTGGAGAGCCAGAGCTGCCATCCTTCGCGCCAGAGCCCAGCAGCTGACTGGGAGGGAGGCATCTGACAGGAACCAAAGGTTTTCTGTCAGGGCTTGGCTGACAGGATGGCTTCCTGCATGCGCGACCGGGGGCGTGGCCTCGCGGTCAGTGGAGCAGCTGTGCTCACGTGGGAGCACGTTGGCAAAGGGGCGGGGCCAAGCAGCCCTAAAACGGTCAGGAACCGCAGGGGCGGAGCCAGTGTCTGATTGACAGTCGAGAGGCCAATGAGAGAAGGCAGGCCACACCAAGGAATGCGCCACCTTCAGTTAAACTGTCAGGATGCCTGGGAAATCTAACGGGTTTTGCCTGTCAGATTCCTAACTTGGCTGGGCTTGGCCTAGCGCTCTCAAAACTGACCTTTTCTGGCGGTCTTAGGACCCATTCGTGGACTCTCTCCTCCGTCGTCTGTACCTTTCTCCACAGTCGCTGGTGAGCGCTATTACCACGTCCATTTCACAGGTGCGGCAGCTGAGGCTTAGAGGTAGGAACCTCAGCAAGGCCACAGCTGGGATCCCACTCTTGGCACCTGACCCCAGAGCCCATCCTGTCCAGCGCGCTGCAGTTCCACTGGCCCGGACACCTGGGAGTCAAGGCGGAGCAGGGCCGGTAAAGGGCCCCGGATGAGTGCAGTTGAGCAGATTGCTGGCGGCAGTGTCCTCGGAGTGGACGTAAATAGTGATAAGTAGCTGTTGGGTCCCACACGGCGTGAGAGCTCAGAGGATGCAGATGGGAGGGGAGACAGGAGACAGGAAGGTGAGAATGTGGGTGTCATGGGCCAGGCTGTCCCGCAGCTGGCAGAGCCTGGCAGCACTGCAGTCTGATGTGGCTTTGGGTTACCCCCAGGTGCAGAAAAGCTGTTCTCTCGGGGCTGTGGTGTTTCCCAGGTGTGAAGTTCAGCATTTAGGAGCACAGCAGTATTATAGTCCCTAGGAGACAGTTGCCTCTGTCTGCTAGGGCTGCGACTACAAAATACCACAGAGAAGGTGGCTTAGACAACAGATTTCTTTTCTCATAGCCCCAGAGGCTGAGAAGTCTGAGATCAGGGTGCTGGCAGGTGTGGTTCCTGGCCAGGCCTCTTTCTGGCTTTCAGAGGGTCACCTTCCATCTGCATCCTCTCATGGAGGGAGGATTTTCATATCTGTCTCTCTGTCTTTCTCTGTCTCTCTCTCTCTCTCCTTATAAAGCCAGCAATGTTGTGGTCTTATGACGGCACACTTAGGACCTCATTTAATCTCAACTGCCTCCTTAAAAGCCTTATCTCCACATAGACTCACATTGGGGGTTAGGCCTTCAACACATGAATTTGGGCACACACAGTGCATTCCATAACAACGGTTCATACTCAGTAAGTATGTAATAGTGATAGTAGAGCACTGAAGAAATTGAACAGTTTGAGAACTCACATGCACCTGAAGTCCTTTCACAAATCTTAGCTAGTATAATGGGCATGAGATTCCCTGTGCCTGGGTGAGCCTTAGCCATGGGGGAACATTCTGAGGAGAACTTGCATGGGAGATCATGGTTGTCCTCTAATAGCCACCACGAGGAGATCTCAGAATGTTATACCACGTGTCCTTGATGGGCCTTAGTGAATCCATTATTCTCTCATTGACCTAAACATTTTCTGATCTATTATTTAGCTGGTACAGCTTCTGGAATAATAATCACCCCCAGTGAAGTGAAATAGTAATGACTTTTATTTTGTATTGTTTAATGTTGTCCTGCTAGCTGAAGATACGAGGTAGAGAGATGAAAGTTTGGGGTAATCAGAAACTCTGAGCCAGCTGAAGAAGTCAGACTGTGGCTCCATCTGGCACCTGCCTGAGCAACGAATGAAAAGACAGGGCATTTACTTGTCAGTGAGGTTCCTGGAGCTGTCTTGAAATCCAAACCCCCTTGCAGTTCTAGTCTGCAAGAAGTCCCACCTTGTCATCAGTTTCTGTTCTTGGTGTTCCCAGACATGCTCAGTTCTTCATTTCTTACCAAGGATACTTTCAGCATAACTCCCTTTTACTTTTGCTAGTTCTGCCCTGCAAACAGAGCACTTGACTGGAACAGAGTCATGTGGACCTGGGTTTGAACCCCTGGCTCTTCCCTTATTAGCTGTGACTTTGAGCACAGCTTGAGCATCAGTACACAGCTGATACTTGTGGAGGTGTGGAGATCCAAGGAGAGCCTAAAAGGAAAAGGGCCTGCAGAGGGTTGAGCACCAAACAGGTGCTCAGAATGTGATGTCCCGTCTTCCCCTTTCTATCATGCTTAAATGGCTTTTCAATGGCATATCTCCCTCTCAGGATTGAATTCTCCTAGTGTTTTTGAGTCATCCTTCTTATGGTAATCCCTCCACCTGTGTGTGTCTCTGGTCATTTCAATGTTCCCTTAACTATGATTGAAAGAACTTAATGTCAACTACCTTCCCCCTTCTAAATGGATTGACACTGTCACTTGTGTTCATGAGGCCAGATTAGTAAGAATGAATGATGGATCTATTAATATTAACACAATTGGTTTTAAAGTTGTGAACATTTGTACTTAGATGGACCTGGAAATAGCTTGCAGTGAGAGAGGTGTGGGGACCAGGATGGTAGAGTGTGTCCTCCAGATGGTGACTGAAGGAGGAAAGGGGGTGGCCAAAGCCCTCTCAGAGAAAATAGGTTCATAAGAGGTGAATGAATATGATATAAATATGGAACAGAAGTTCTTTGTAGACCTAGGTAAGCTGTTCCAGGCAGAAATAAGGTCATGTCGGGATTGGGAAGCTGTTCAAGGCAAAGCTCAGTGTCTTTGAAGACAACTCTGTATTCTGGAGCCAAAGAGAACGCTGTTATTTCTTCATGACAGAACACTTTGGCAGGGGCTCTCATCTGTCCTGGAAATGGAGGCCAGGGAAAACTAAGAAGCACACTGAAGGTATTTGTAAAGTATGGGTGTATATGCTCCCCTGGGTATGCTCACTCCTACAAGCTGTGCTCATGCTTCTCTGCCTGAGTGCCATGATTTCCACTTGTCCACAGCAGGGTAAAGTGGAGCAGCTGTGGCATGCAAATGCTGCCTTGCAGAGACACGGGAGCAGAATGCTGCAAAGGTCCTCACAGATACCCTCCCTGACCCCAGAGGCGGACGTCTTCAAGAGCACATCTGCAAGCCTTTCACAGATGCATTAGATTGGGATCCAAGCAGAGGTAGATTGGTAGTGGAGTTTTGGTTTGGGGGCTCTCCTAGGCTGCATCCTGCTGTAGCCACTTACTGCCCCTGGATGCGTTGCATGATTCTAGCGTAGCTTCACATGGCCATGCAAAGGATGGAGAGGACATGGTCTCTGCTTGAAAGGAAATGTACAACCAAGAAGCAACTGGGTAACAAGTATGAAGACTGCTCTTGATTTCAATCCCCTTCTTCCTGGCTCATGAGAGAGCTATTATAGTATTTATTTATGTTTTTCCCAGGACCCAAGAACCCAGAAGGTTCATGGCATTCGTGTTGAATTTCCCTTCGTGCCCTATTCCGTCCAGAAAGAACTCCTGGCAGAGCTGCTATTCCAGGCTTTGGAGGTGGCCAAATGGAGATATTTGAGAGTCCAGTGGGCACTATGTGTGTGAATAGTGAGGTAGCGTGATTACAGCAACTGAGAGGTGGTCTTGCTCCCTGTGATTGGTTGCCTTTACAGAGATTTTCATGTTAGAAGTTAGGCAAAGTAGCCTGTGAGTTTATCTTTCTTTGTAGTAGTCACTTTGTCTATGAAAGTGTTAAACACAGCTGGAGGGTGTGAGGTCAGTTAGACTCCAGGCAAATGAGGATGTGAATGGCTGTGGACACCATGCCCCACAGCACTGAATGTTTCCAGATTTCTCTGGGCACAGAAGTGCTTTGATGTTGAGAAACACAAAAATAACTGGCTTCTTCACAGATTCAACATTCTGTCTTAGTCTCCAGGAAGTAGTTGACTGAGCACTGGAGGAATCTGATCAAGGGCCCCTGAGTCTTTCCTCCCTGGCTGGGAGTGAGGGAGGCATTTATTCCAGGTTGGCCATGCAGAAGAGGGGGAGGGCTGTGGCAATGGCCCCCAGTATCTCTCTCAGTTTTATAGCAAGTACTGTGTGCTGGTGAAATGAGTATGTTTCTGTGCGGGATCTCCTAGAGGAGAATGACCTGTGAGCCACCTCACTGTGTCCCTGTCCTCTAGGGGGATTGGCTAAGTTGGCCCAGAGTAGGCTCTTTTTTTTTTTTTTTTTTGAGACAGAGTCTCGCTTTGTTGTCCAGGCTAGAATGAGTGCCGTGGCATCAGCCTAGCTCACAGCAACCTCAAACTCCTGGGCTTGAGTGATCCTTCTGCCTCAGCCTCCCGAGTAGCTGGGACTACAGGCATGCGCCACCATGCCCGGCTAATTTTTTATATATATATCAGTTGGCCAATTAATTTCTTTCTATTTTATAGTAGAGACGGGGTCTCGCTCTTGCTCAGGCTGGTTTTGAACTCCTGACCTTGAGCAATCCGCCCGCCTCAGCCTCCCAAGAGCTAGGATTACAGGCGTGAGCCACAGCGCCCGGCCCCAGAGTAGGCTCCTGATATGTGTGTGCTGAGTGAAGGAATGAGAGAATGTGACTCATTCTTTTTCTCACTGTTGGGAGCCTGTCACTCTTTCTGGAGATAACACAGGGATCTCTAGGGACAGGAAAAGTGCCCAGTTGGATACTCTGTTTTTCCATTTTGTTCTTTCATGTGCAGTGAGTGGGAGAGATTAAGGCCCTCCAGTTAACAAAGAGAGCTCCCTGTATGTGGTGTGCATGGTTTTCTTAGGCAGTATGCTGTTAGCATTCTCACCTTCCATCTAAACCCAAAGCCAGGTGCCTTCTTCTCATAGCAACTCAGTGAAACATTGTTTTTAGGGTCAGTACTGACTTCCTGGCTAAGAGACTTGGATATTTCAAGTCCTTACTTAACTGTTTGCTACATTTAATATTGTTGAACATGTCTTCCTTTTTTCTGTTTAAAGTAATTTTAAAAAGTTAATCAAATATAATACATAAAATTGATGAAATGAGAGAGATTTGACACCTTAAAATAGTGTGTATCAATCCATGACCATGATATAGTCCTGTAATCATTTAGGCATTCTTTACTTTTTTCTCCAGGAATGTTGTATGATTTCCAGTGTAGAGATTTTGCACAGCCCTTACTAGATATATTCCTTCGTATTTTTGGTTTGGGTACTATTATAAATGCTCTTTTCAAAAGTTTATTTTCTGATTGTTTATTGTCAGTATATAGAATGCAATTGATTTTGGGTGGCAGTTTCTTTAATTGTGATAAAATATACCTAACAGAAAATTTACCATTTTAACCATTTTAAGGTGTATAGTTCTGTGACATGAAGTACATTCGCACTGTTGTACAACCACTATTGATTTTTCATATCAACTGTATTGACATATAACTTATACGTGTTTAAAATTCACCAATTTCAGGTGTACACTTCAGAGAGTTTGGATACATGTGTCCACATCTAGAACATTTCCAGTGCCCCCAAGGGTCACCTATTTCCCTTTACATGTAAAAAAATAGAGGCCCTAAAAGTTAAGCCAATCGCCTAAGGAAATGTTGGTGGGGAGGTGCAATGTCTTGTCTAGAGGCAAGCTTCCATCTCCTGATTCTTAAGCATTAGTCTTTGCATGTTTTCACCATCCATGATGAAATACCCCGAAGAAAATCACCACGTCCACCAGAAGAGAAACACCCCCCCCTCTTTATTCCTTACAGAAACATCAGCAGCCATGGGTACCACAGCATCTGTAATGTGCTGCCCAGCAGCTGTGTGTTCCTTGTGCTCTGGAGAGGAGTACACAGAGGAGGTTCAAAGAAGAATGTTGGAATGGTACATGCACAACATGCCAAAGAGCAGCTTTGTGGGGTGCCTGCAAAGAGCTGGTGAGGTAAGGCTATCTGAGACATCTTTCTGGCTCCAGCCAAGGTGGGACACCTCCATCCACATAGCTGGTTGGGCACCTACCCAGTCAAACTTCCTGTGAGCAGTGCATGACTTGGTCCAGTTCATTCACAGCTCCATGTCTGATCCCCATGTCCCTTGCGTGACCCATAACTTCTCCACTCCCACAACCACTGGTCCAGCTGGAATCCCCTCTCCACACTCACTCCTCTTCTTCCTTTCTCTGCCAGAGATTGTCATTTCTTTATTATTTCCTCCCTCTAACCTTCCCTCCTTCCTGAGTACCCTCTCTCTCCTAGGTTTATGCAGAGAATATATTAATCACCTTTCAGAAGCTGCAAGCAAAAATCATAAAAAAGGAGCTGGCAAATACACGATGCCAGATGGTGGCTGACATAACCATCCTGTTCCTCAAGAGAATGGTGAGGAGCCCTTGCCCCTAGGCTGGAGGAAAAGAAAGAAAGGACCCCGGGTCTGAGCCCAGGAGTTCTCTTTTGGTGGGCGATGACATTTGGACCCAATTGGGACCTGGGAAATAAGCACCTCCAGTTGCTAAACAGTGCGATCAACCACGTATCCTGCACCCTGAGTGCACCTCAGGAAATGTGACCTCGGCAGAATGGAAGACACAGTAATGGAGGGAAGGGTGAGGCAAGAGAGATGAGATGGACAAGGGAAGGATCTGTGCTATTGGCTTCAGCACCTGACTTGATCCTCAGACTGCGTCCACAACTCCCTTGTGGGATACCATAGATGGTCACCTCCGTTATTGTGACTCAACTAGTTTTCCCACTCAATTTTCTAAGCTATTTAAATCCATCACCAGTGTGCTAGCCCACCTCTGCACTGAATATGCATGCCATCAACCTGTCTATCCATCCATATAGTTTTGCAGTTACTTTCCTGACACTGGGTTAATCTGCCCTCTTATTTTCTTGGATAACTGCTACTTGGGAGGTACCCTTCTTCCAGTTTACCTGCCTTCCCTTGGCACAGTTGTCTGGTGACCTAGACCACTGACCTCCCAGGGACTTTCCAAAGTTGCTTCCACCACTTCCATCAACCTTCCTGATGATTCACTCGCAGCTACAGGGGACACTCTGTGCTTTGGAACCTCCTGTCCCCACCCTCACCCCCAGCACACAAGCCAGAGACATTGCAGGCTGAGAACTTGTCCCTTCTTGTCTTCTCATCCTCCTGTGTGCACTCAAGGAAGCTCTCGCCCTCCAGCACCATTAAGGTGAATGTTGGATGGGTGGTGGGTTGAGGTGAGTGAGCTCCTGCCC